CTCAGCGAGGACACTGGCCCAAAAGAAGGTAGATTGTGAGATCCCACATCGGTTAGAGAGGGGAACGAAACTTCTTTATAAGGGTGTGAAAACTTCTCCTTAGCAAACGCGTTTTAAAAACCTTGAGGGGAAGCCCGAAAGGGAAAGCCTAAAGAGGACAATATCTACTAGTGGTAGATTTGGCTGTTACAAATTTTTTTAATCTATTCTTTGAGCACTGTCCCTTCTGGGTTAGGTATTAGCAAATTTGATCATTATATATGCCAACAGACATGTAGACGCTATTATATAAAACAACAATGAAGTAACATTATAAGAGAGTATACTCAGAATAAGATAAGAACAAATTTGATCGATATTTGGGGCTGAGAGAAAACCAAACGAAAAACTGGCATACTAAATCAAAGCTCAACTTTCATCAATTAAAAAGGAGATTGCAGAATCAAAGAAAATGAACACAGTTTATAAGTCGGTGATAAGTAAAATTACCTAGCCTTCTTTAATTAGAGCAACTATAAACCTCTTTTTCTCACTACAATCAGCATGGAATCAAGCACGCAGCAAATCTAAAGCGGAAATGAATCAAAAGCACAAACAGGTGTATGATTACAAGAAGCGATGGGCCGATTACAAAGGTAGCATTGACGAAAACGAAATAGCAATCAACCAAAGTGATTCTTCGAGACACTGAATACAAAAACTTCATCCTTAATCCAAAACCTCGCCGAAACACAAATTAAATGAAATTGAAGTAAAACAAATTATGACCTTCATTAGCAGCAATCACAAGTGTTGGCGTCGAAAATGAAGACTATATCTGGTGAAGCTTGAAGAACCCAGGAAGGGGAATTCCTAAACCTGTTCCTTCTTTTTCGTCTTCAGCACCCCCCGATTTTTTTTTTTTTTTTTTTCTTTTTCTTTGTAAGAATATTAGTTATTCATTCGCTAAATTAAAAATTGAGTGTTTGTAAGTTTCTGTATAATATTGGTTTGAACTTTTAAAATGATTTAATCCTTAAGCTTCTAATAATCTTTCGATTTTAATTTAATTTTATTTAATGAATTAATCAATTGTAAATTTTATAAAATATTAAATTTAGAAACTAAATTTATAATTTTTAAAATTAAAATGGATATATACTTAAAATTATATTAGGTTATTTCAAGTTAAAAATTCATTAATACTCTTTAAGTTTTTAAAAAGTTAAAAAAATATTGTTATATTATGTTTAAAAAAATACTCAAAATAACTATAAAAATAATAGCTTTCCTTTAAAAAAATTATTACCATTAAATATGAACTGTCTATCTACACTTCATAGATCATCTCTAAACTTTTATAATTTTTTTTTTATCAAAAGCTTAAGAATGTTAATGATACTTTTGAAAATTTATGAGTGTTTTTTAAACGTGACATTAACAATTCTGTCCATATCCTAATGATAAGGATATTTTTGAAGTTTTATAAAAAGTTCAAAGATATTTTTGGAATTTTTTTTTTAAATTAAGGTCATTATTAAAATTTATGAAAGTTCAACCGTCTTTTTAAACTATTTTTAAAGTTAAAAGGGTATTTTTTTTTATAACATTTTGAAAGTTCATACGGTATCTTTTAAATGAGTAATAATCTTTTCCTCCAAAATAACAATGTTTTTTTATTTTTTATTTTTAAAAAAGTTTAAAGATATTACCTAAACTTCTAAATAAGAACGGGATTAACTAATATATTAATTAATTAAAATTAACCACTATACAAATATATATATATATATATATATATGAAATTTCTTATCATTAAACATTAATAAAGTGACTTACAATGGGCGATCCCTAGAATTTATAAAAACTTCGCAAATTATGTCTATTTTTCTTTTCAAATAAAAAGTTCACTAATTATTTAGATTTTGATCAGTAACACAGTAAATTAAAATTTAAATAATAATAATAAGATGGAAAAGAATAATTAAAGGCATTATTGGGGCACTTATGGTAAGATGAAGAAATATAGGGGTAAATGTGGAAAAAAGTAATGCGGTTGGGGAGGGTCCATTAAAATATAATTATGGAAGAAGAGGGGTGAATTAGTTAGTGAATCATAATGGGGAAAACAAAGCAATTCCGAGTTACGTGGTTGGTTGACATTCCCAACAACGCGCCTTTGCCTTACTTTCCACCACCACTCACGCTCCCCTTTCAATCCAATCACAACTCAATTTTACTCTGTCAATTTTCGATTCAGACCTCGAGTTGTTCTTTTTAATTATTTATTTTTTAAAAAAATTTATACTTATATACGATACATATTACGTTAATTGATACATATCATAATGTATGATTAACATAAGTTACAAACATCAAATATTCTTAATTTTTATAATAATTTTAAAAGTAGGGTAAGTCAAAGTTAGATTCTAACTATATTTTCGAGTTGATCCGGTTGATTCGACCGAAAAAATTTCAACTTACGAACTGACCTAATAACTCTACTTTCTTTTTTTTTTTGCTCCGTGTTTTTTCGTAAAGATATGAATGTATAATCAAATATATATATATATATATTTTTTAACAAAAAAAATAATAATCATAGTAAGCAAAAATAATTTTAAACACCAAAATCCTGTTCAAAGTTTTATTTTCATTTTTTCAATAAAGTAAAATTCGACCAATGGAAGTTTAAATAGAATTTTTATTATTATTATTTAAAAGAATAAACTCTTATATTTTGTTTGATAGATAAAATGATTTTTTTTTTCTTTTAAAACGAATATAACTTTTTAGGGGAAAATGGATTTTTTGTGCTTTTTTTTTTTTCTCTTTTATTCTTTTTAGGGAAAATTCATTTTTTATCTTCTAAATTTGGAAATATTTTTACCTTTAAATTTTTTATTTTAGCCGACTCATCTTTAGATTTAGATAGATATGTGAATCTTTATCTTTAATTTAACTTTTTTTTTTTCTTTAACAAAATTTGACTTCCTATTTGAATATATATATTTATTTAACAAAATTCATTGGATAATGTTTTTTTTTTTTGTATTAATTTTGAAAACAAAAATCCATATTTTTTAAATTAAGAAACTAATAAATGTATTAATTTAAATTCTAAACTTTTATAAGAAAAAAAAATTAATTTTTTATCCACAAATGGTAGCTATTTTTACATATTTTTATTTATAATAAATTCAAAGTCAACTAAGCAAAATGATTATTATTCTCCAAAACTCCATTAAATAAGTAAATAAAATTAAAATTTCTCAAATTTAATGAAAATTCACCACTATCCATTTTTATTATTATACTTTCTCTCATTTACATTAATTTATATAATTAAACAAATTTCGCACACGTGTGAAAGTTGCGCCTTGTCAATTTTAAAACGAAGACGAAATTAATTCATTTATAAAATTTTATAATTTAAATTAATATAATAATTATGACGAGAATTGTTAATATTTTAATTAAAAAATACTCATAAACTTTTAAAAGTTTTATTAATATAATTAAACTTAAAAGAGTCTGTATCTTCATTTTTTTTAAGCATGTTTGAATAAAAAAAAATACGTTAATACCTTTAACGTATCACAAAAAAAGTTTAAACTTCCCTCGAAGAGATAGAATTTTAGATGTAAATGTTGTTTGAATTCGGCTTAAATTCCACTTTTTTACCTAAAATGTTAGCTTAGAAAGCAAGAATTGTCAATGCATTGGGTCCCAAATGATATGGAATTATAGCCAAAGAAAGTGACGATGATCATAAGGGCACGAACTAAGTATAATCGAGTTCATAATTTGTGGAGCTTTAGCATTAATCAAAAGAAATCATATTCAACCACCACGTGCCTTCCAAACTAAGAATAATGTGAGAGATCGAGGAGGTCAGAATATGAATTGGATTGGTTCACGTCATTTATTCAATTCATCGAATTAAGACTGACAATATATATTTAAAAAGTTATTTTCTAAATACGGGAAATATACATATTTCTCGTAATAAAAAAAATTAAAAATAAATTTGAGTTAGTTTAGTTCAACCTACGAACTAATTCAATTCATAATTTTTTTTTTTAATTAAATCCTACTGAATCCTAAACGGTATGGATTCATCGGTTTTTTGGGTCACCCGTATATCGTACGAATCTTAAAAATATACAATTTTCAACTTTATTTAATTATATTAGTAGCCTTTAATTATATGCCTCAAGTCATTCAACAACCTTATTCCCTACTAATTTTGAAATAATAATAATAAGATATTATAAAACGTGAGTGCAAACAAGTGGAACGTGTGGAACAATATTAGACGTGATGGAAGATTGTAGAAAATCATCACAAAATTAAAATGCTCAATTTTAAATGTTATAATTTCAATTATTTTAATTTTAAAGTTTTGAATTTAATTATTATAATTTCCCATAAAAAAAATTAATTATCATAAAGTTTTATTTTTATTTAAAAAAAATAGTGGAATACTAATTTAGCCTGAAATTCTTATAATTTATCGTAAAAAAGTGGGTTCTTCTACTCGAAATTATGATCAAAATTTTCAATATATAGTACGAAACGACGTAAAATTAATGGTATTAATGTAATTTTCTAAAGTTGATATTAATAGTTTCTGTATATGTATGAACAATAATTTTTTTAATTAGAAAATTTTTAAAATGGAGTTTTTTTTTTAAGTAAATAGTACGAAATTAAAAGATATTTTCTTAATTTATTAAATATAAAATTATTATTTTAATAAAAGCTTAAGCATTAAAAGCATTCTTTAATTACTCGTCACGTGTCTCCTCCCGCCATGTCACGTGAGACGCGTAGGCCCCACTCGCCCGCTCCTCAAGGGTTTATTCTTCTTCTTACGCCCTGTCCCTCTCTAACCGTCTCTAAATTATTTTCAAATTTTTTATTTTTATATTTACGAAAAGAACCTTGTAAATGGCAAATGTCCCATTTTGACCTTTTCTGTCGTCTTTCTCCTTTAAAACGTTAAAACCCCTTCTTGTCCCTTTCCTCCTCCATTTCCATTTTTTCTTCTCCCCAAGTTCTCTGTTCTAATGGCTGTTGACGTTCATTCCTCTTTTCCCAATGGAATTCGTGATCTTCCCACTAATCCTGACGAAATCGGTCAACTTCCATTAATGAATGCTTCTGATAATCCCAAGCTCGACACTAAGCTTTCAGTCTCGCCCACTGTAGATGAAAATCAGATGAAGCTCTCTGATAATGAATCTCCCTCTTCTTCTTCTTCTTCTTCTTCTTCTTCGTCGTCGTTGTCGTTCGATGTCGAGAAATCAGAGGATTCTACCCTTAACGGTCATATTCCTGTTCGTCCCCACCACGAATTGAATCTCAATAATGGAGAGATACGCGTATTGGAGCCTCATTCTCAGCTTCCTAAACCCGAGGCCCCACCTGGACTTTCCGTTTCCTCCGTTGGTGAACCGCCGTACAAACGATCGCAGAGTTTGGCCGAGAATAACTCCGTCGACATGTCGTCGATTGGGAAGTTTATACGGGAGAGAAGCAATAGTTTATCGGCCGCGATTCTCAAGCGGATTTCGTCGCTTAAGGATGAAGAGAAGGACGACGTGGACGAGAACGGGAAGTCTCAGACCGGCGTCACTGAAATCAACCTCTCCGGTTTCAAAGTGGTGGTGAAGCGGAAGAGCGATGAAGAGAGAGACAGAGAACTGAAAGGAAGAATCAGCTTCTTTTCGAGGTCGAATTGCAGGGATTGTAAAGCGGTTAGGAGTTTCTTCAACGAAATGGGATTGAGATTTGTTGAGATCAACGTCGACGTTTTTCCTCAGAGAGAGAAGGAGCTGATGAAGAGGACTGGGAGTTCATTGGTGCCGCAGATTTTCTTCAACGAGAAGCATTTTGGAGGTCTCGTGGCGCTGAACGCACTGAGAAACAGCGGCGAATTTGACCGGAGAATCAGAGATATGCTCAGCAATAAATGTCCCGACGACGCACCGGCTCCGCCGGTCTACGGTTTCGACGATCCAGAGGAGGGATCGCCGGACGATCTACTGGAGATCGTGAAATTTCTTAGACAGAGATTGCCGATTCAGGACCGTCTGATCAAGATGAAGATCGTCAAGAACTGCTTCTCCGGCAGCGAAATGGTGGAAGCGCTTATTCAGCGCCTTGATTGCGGCCGTAGAAAGGTACGCTCTCACAGTGACATCCCCTGTTTTTCTCCTTCTGCCATTAGAGTTCCGTTCTCTGTTTTCTAGCCGTTGGATGGAATGACTATCACACTTTTTGACCTTCTTTTGAAATGCTACGGTCGACTGAAGCTGCCATATCATCACATCCTGCTCCGCGAAGCACTGGACTGCTTTCCAATTCAAAATTTTCAACCCCATATTGTCTCCCTCATACCATATATATATATATATATATATATATATATATACATGTTCTAGTAATTTAAATGCTTAATTAAGGTATTAGTAATCTAATCTTAATTGCCCAAATTTCCATGCCCACTCCTTTTCCAAAACTATAATTCAAATATAAATCAATTAATAATTTGTATTCCTTTACTAGTCGACGAACCATATCATAAATTTATATTAACTTTCGTACTTGCTCCTCTTATTATAAATCTTACTTCATTCATTTTTAAATAATAATTTGTAGGCTGTTGAGATTGGAAAGCAGATGACCCAGAAGCTCTTTATCCATCATGTCTTTGGGTAATCCTCTCTCTTATTGCTCCATTTTTCTCTTAGTTTGGTATCCCAATGATTCATAAGAAGTAAAAAATGGTATCAATTTAGACCCTTATTAGAATTTTGTTTTCAAGTTGGGTATGATTTTTCATTGGTTCATAAGTGTTCGAGTGTTCTTCATTTACTTCGGTGATAGTTGTTTTTGAATGGAATCAAATGAGAATAGGCGTACGTCATTAATAATGGTTCTAAATTGATTCATTTATAAAAAATTAGAGGGGGATACAATTATGAGTTAAAAGAACTTGAAAATTTAAGGATTAGAAGAACATTTTGTAATGTTTGTCGTGGTTGAATTACAGGGAAAGTGAATTTGTAGATGGGAAACATTTCTACCGTTTCCTTGAGCATGGGCCATTTATATCCCGGTGCTTCAATTTCAGGGGCTCAGTTAATGACAATGAGCCCAAGCCCACCGCCATGGTTGCACAAAAACTAGCCAAGATCATGTCCGCCATTTTAGAGTCCTATGCCTCTCAAGATCTCCAACATCTTGATTATCTCACCATTAGCAACACCGAAGAGTTTCGAAGGTACAATTTTCAAGGATATGGATAGATAATTTATGAGATTTTAGTCAAGGATAGTGATCAAATTGCCCTGCAACTCTTCACAAATGCTTGATTCCTTCACCAACTTATGCAGGTACATGAACTTAATTCAAGATCTTCACCGCATGAACCTCTTGGAATTGTCACATGATGAAAAGTTGGCTTTTTTCTTAAACCTGTACAATGCTATGGTCATCCATGGCTTCATACGATTTGGACGAGTAGAGGGTGTAATTGACAGAAAATCCTTCTTCTCCGACTTCCAATACTTGGTCGGCGGACACCCATATTCACTCATCGCCATAAAAAATGGGATTCTTAGAGGAAATAGAAGGCCACCCTACTCCCTTATCAAGCCCTTCAGCGCTTCTGACAAGCGATTGGAGGTAAATTTATCTCATTTCAACTTTTTTAAGGATTATGTTCTGCTTACCCTTGGCTCATACCAATCCTTTTGTGATACTTTGTTCTGATGCTGTTTGATTAGTTAAGATCCTACTTTTTATCATTAGATTGGGGAATCTGCCCCTTAATCAAAAAGTATAAAGGTAAAGCGTATTTTATCTTTTATTGACATTCTCGACATTCCCTATGACTCGTGGACTTGGAAAAGTAACGTTAGCCAAAATTAGCATTAGTTGGGGCGGATATAACATCATAGTACTCATAACATATTCCACTATCACTATATTTATATGCGTACGAATATACAAAAATTGTATAAACGTTTCAAAACTACGGTTGATTTGGATGAAAATTGGGACTCAATATGATGTTTGTGTGTTTTGTTGTGGATGAATGGATGGCATCTTTAAAACTGAGTGTGTGAATGAATATGATGAACAAATGTCAGCTTGCGTTTGGGAAAGTGAATCCATTAATTCACTTTGGACTGTGGAATGGGACAAAGTCTAGCCCAAGACTCAGATTCTTTACTCCTCAAGGAGTGGAAGCAGAGCTAAGATGCGCCGCAAGGGAGTTCTTCCAAACTGGGGAAGTGGAGGTTGATTTGGACAATAGAACTGTGCATCTCCCTGGAATCATCAAGTGGTTCGTCCTCAAACTCTCACTCTTTCCCTTTTTTGTTCTTATTGTTCTTCTTGTTCTCTGCCACTGGATAATACTAAATGCTGGTTTCTTCATTTTTTTCAAGTTTACATTTCAAAAGAATCCTTGTTAGATAGAAAGCATCATCAGGATTAAAACTTCATGTTCTTCTTGTTCTATGCCACTGGATAATACTGCATGCTGGTTTCTACTTAAATTTTTAAGTGTAACCGTCCAAGCCTACCACTAGCAGATATTGTATTTTTTAGGCTTTCCCTTTCGGGCTTCCTCTCAATGTCTTTAAAACGCGTCTATTAGGATTAGGGAGGGTTTTCACACCCTTATAAAAAATGTTCCATTCTCCTCCCCAACCGATGTGTGATCTTACAATGACCCCCCTTCGGGGGCCAGCACCCTCCCTGGCACTCATTCCCTTCTTCAATCGATGTGAGACCCCAATCCACCCCTTTTGGGGCCTAGCGTCCTTGCTGACACATCGTCTCGTGTCCACCCCCCTTCGGGGCTCAGCCTCCTCGCTAACACATCGCTCAGTGTCTGGCTCTAATATCATTTGTAACTGTCCAAGCCTACGGCCAGTAGATATTGTCCTCTTTGGGCTTTCTCTCAAGGTTTTTAAAACACATCTACTAGTAAGAGTTTTTCACACCGTTATAAACAATGCTTCGTTCTCCTCTCCAACCAATGTGGGATCTCACAGTCCACTCCGTACCAGCCCAGATCTCACATCAAGTTCACATTTCAAAAGAATCCTTGTTATGCTACACATTCTCCAGCTACATTTGATGATGAAGAACATGAAAAACGATGAACTTTTGATGGAAAATCTGGTGGGTTGGGTTTGGTTGTTGCAGGTTCAGTGTGGACTTCGGAGCAGAGAAGGAGATTTTGAGGTGGATAATGAGGTTCTTGGATGCCAAAAAAGCAGGCCTTTTGACGCACCTTTTGGGGGATGGAGGTGCTGTCAACATAGCCTACCAGAACTATAACTGGACCATGAATTCTTGTTGATGCAGAGGACAAAAAGCCTCAATGATTTTTGGTTTTCGGGCTTCGTCTTGGCATTGCCACCCATTATTGTAAATAATATCATAGCTTTCTTCTTCTTTGTCAGTCAGTCACCCCTCTGCTATGTTTCCCTCAGACTGCCAATTTTTCTGGGGATATGGAGCGGTGTTGTTGGGGTTGGGGATAGAGGGGTAGAATGGGAATTGGATAGCTTCATTATTTACAAACCATTAATCTATATATAGCCTTATTTCATTTTGATTTAATCTTTTTTAAATATCTATTTCAATTTAGGAATGACTAAGTAGAATTATTAAGCATGTATTAAATAAGCAACATTCTAAATATTATATTTGTGACAAAAAAAAAAAAATCCTAAATTTTGCCATTTTAAAAAAAAAATCATTATTCTTTTTTAAAGAGAATGCAAAAGAAAACAAAACTAAATTCATAATCTCACAAATCTGTTATTTATAATCTATTGGTATAACAAGTCGACAATCAACCTTAGTAGTGTGCATAGAAAATAATATTGATATAATATTTTTATTGTACCGTTAAGGTACATCAATAATCTAACTTATAAATAATTACCAATTATAGCATATAATTCAACCCGTCTAGACATACCCAAAAAAGAGTTCAATGTTTGAAATTATATAAAGAAAAAAAGACATCACAGGCCTATATAGTAATAAATTTAGAGTATCATTTGAATTTAACCCTATAAGTAGTAAAAATTTCCGAAATACAGTACCTAATAGACTCATAGACTACGACTTTAAATTGATGTTCATTTATAGTAGGAGACCACTAAAATAAAATAATGGACTATCTAGCAATAATATAAAAGCTATATAGAAGTCACATTAATCCCACACTTATCACATTATTTAATACTTTTTGAATCCTAAAAAGTTGTTGACTAAAATCAAACTAAGAAAACATTAAATTAGTGAAGTCAAACCTACCTAAACAAACCATATTAAAACATTTTATTACTCAATTTCATCTCAAATTAATCATAAAAGCTAAAACCAAATCCCTTACAGTAAAAGAAAAAATATATATATATATATATATATATATTTTTTGCCGAAAGTGAGATACGAAAATAGATATTTATTTCCATATTATATATATTCTGATGCTGAATGAAGGGTGAAGGATTGAAAATGGTGAAGAAGAAATGACTGGTTTAAGGTAAATAATGTAATTTAAGAGCTGAAGATGTTGGCGTGAGACAACAGCTACTTGCATACTTATATTTATATATATTTATATATTCATATTCATAGCCTTTTAAAGGAAATTTTTGGTTTTGAAGTCCAAAGAAAAGGGGGTGTGGAGAGTCCAGAATAATGGGGCATCAAATGCTTATGGGGATTCGCACTGTTCCAGAATTCCAAGATCTGCACCAACCTATCCATTATTTATTTCAAAATCACAGACCCCTCTTCTTCTTCTTCTTCTTCTTCTTCTTCTTCTTCTCTCTCTAAAATTTGAACTCTTCTTCATTGGTGGAGCTGCGAGAGGATTGGAATTGAGTGACCCAGATGAGCCAATATCAAAATTTCGGGGCTTAGAGGCTTGTGGGTGCGTTGGATGGTGGCTCGGAGAGGCTACCAACAATTCAAATTCGAGGGCTCTCTTTATTAAAGCTTTGTAGAGTCGAACCCAAAGCCAATCAGGGCTCCGTCGGAAAGTTGCACCCAAAAAGGTGACTCCTACCCTTACCTTCTTTTCTCTCTCCTCTCTCTCTCTCTCTCCTTTTCTCTGCAACTCTTTTCCATTTGGTGCTTTTAGGGCAAATCTTCTGCCATTTCGATCGTTACCCAGATGAAATCAACGTGAGTAATTTCTCTTCCTTGTTGTTTTTTGGTTTGAGTTCTTGTAATTTTGCTGTTTTATGGGTTTTTACTGTTGATTTGTGGAGTTTTTTCAAGCTTCGTAAATGGTTTGTGTTTAGATGGGTGTTTGTGTCATGGGTTTGGTGTTTGTGTGTTCTTCGGGTTTTATGATTCAATTATCGTGTTGTTCTTCGTAGGTTGGATATGGTTCAGCTGAGATTCCTGTGAGGGTTGCTGTAAATAGGAGGATTAGTAATCATGGCAGCTGAATCAAACAGGGGTTTTCACCAAACGTTAAGTTCTGCTTTGAATCGCCACGCTATATCTTTTCAATCTACTGCAACAACCAGCAGCTCAGAGATGATGACAATGGAGAACTACTTTGGGGTCAATAACGCGTTGGACATAATGTTTTCGGGGAATTCGAACGTTGTCAACAATAACAATCATCCTGTTATTAGCCAAGCTACCAATTCATCTGGTTCTCTGCTTCTTGATACGGTGCCAGGGCTCAAGAATGATGCTGGGTTGGCAGTGGAATGGTCTGTGGAAGAGCAATTCAAATTGGAGGAAGGTCTTGTCATGTAAGTTCTTTCTTTAAATCTTCTAACTTTTTGTTCTTGTCGGATTTGTTGGTTTTAGGATTGTTGAAACTTATGTTAAGAGATGTCTTGGAGAGGAATTTTCAGTGTTGTGAATTCTGCACGTTTTGTTTTACATGGGTCTATTGTGCTACATACCGAACAGTCTGATGCATACTGTGAGATGTGAGATCCCGCATCGGTTGGGATGAGAATGAAACATTGTTTATAAGGGTGTGGAAACCTCTTCCTTACATACGTGTTTTAAAAACCTTGATGGGAAGTCCAAAAGGGAAAACTCAAATAGGACAATATCTGCTAGCGGTGGGTTTCGGCCGTTACAAATGGTATCAGAGCCAGACTCTAGGTGATGTGCCAGCAAGGAGGCTGAGCCCCAAAGGGGGTGGACAAGAGGTGGGTGTGTCAGTTAAGGACGCAAGCTCCGAAGGGGGGTGGATTGGAGGGTCCCACATCGATTGGAGAAGGGAATGAGTGCCAGCGAGGACGCTGGACTCCGAATGGGGACAGATTGTAAGATCTCACATTGGTTGAGGAGGAGAATGAAACATTCTTTATAAGGGTGTGTAAACTTCTCCCTAGCAGACGTTTTAAAAACCTTGAGGGAAAGCTCGAAAGGAAAAGCCTAAAGAGGACAATATTTGCTAGCGGTGGGCTTGGACCATTAGACATCCAGAAAGCAAGGCGTATGAGTTTTAGATCAGAATTGGAATCCCCCTTACATGTGGTTCCTTACCCCTTGGTAGTTCTTTTATGTTAAGAGTTATTCTTCCTGGCCTGCTTGATAAACTAAAGCTCTCTTCATGTGCAGCCTATTTTTCTATAAATAAAACCATAGAGATCCCAATGGTCATGCTTTCTTTCTTTCCTATTTGCAAATAATATCAGCTTTCTTTTCTCAGTATTTTCACTATTGTTTGCTTTCCATTTGATAGGTTTGCTGATGAACCAAGCATTTTGAGGTATATCAAGATCGCTGCCACGTTACGTGATAAAACTGTTCGGGATGTTGCTCTAAGGTGTCGGTGGATGACTGTAAGCACCTCCATCTTATAAGATACTTCTGTGTAAAATATCATTACTCTGCCTTCTTCAAGTTCTTATAGAAGACTAACAAACTTCTTTACAGAGAAAACGAAGGAAGCCCGAAGAACATATCGGAAAGAAAGCGATCAATCGAAAGGTACTTCTATGAAACTTTATGCGTATATCTGATGTTGGTTTGAGGATCCAATTTCCTAAAGATTGGGAATGTTCAGGATAAACTGATGGAGCCATCTTTAAAGATAAACACACCTTCAGCCCCAGGACCCAGCATGGCTGCATATTCTCATATGATGCAGCATCATATGAATGGAAAAGAAAGAGCGCCTTCTGAAGGTCGGCGTTCTTGAAATTTTCTTCCTCTATACTTACTTATTGTAGTCCTTAGCAACCACTAATTATTCAAGCTTCTATTGAGACTTTTTTTTTTCTCATCAAAGTCTCAGAGATTAGCAGTGCAGCTGCGCATCTTCTGGAACAGAATGCTCAAGCTTTTAGTCAAATTACTGCCAACCTTTCCGTGTACAAGGTGAATATCTATCAGCTTTTAATAGAGACTGCTTTCTACTGGAACCATTTGCAGTTCATATCAATAGTATTGGACTACTCTGTCACATTTCACCTGCCTAGATGACTAAATACTATCAAATTTCATAATTTGAAACCGCAAGATCGATATCAAGCTCTATTGCTACATGGTCTAGTTCTTAAAAAGAACTGCTACCTGATATAAATGTAAAAATCTTCTCGTGTCTTGAAATTTTTATTTTCTTTCGTTTGTTCCGGTTCGGCTACTCACTATGCTACTGTTGGTCCTTTTTCAAGCAGTTGCAGGATAACATTGATCTTTTCTGCCGGACAAGGAATAATATTATTGCTATCCTAAATGAGTACGTAGATATTCCTTCCTTTCAAGCCCAGTCTTTGGGCGGAACCATCATCTGTTAATGGAGATTTTCAATTCTAATTTTTGCAGAATGAGGGAAACTCCAGGTATATTGAGCAAAATGCTACCACTTCCTGTATCTATAAATGAAGATCTAGCAAATAGAATTTTGCCCAGCACAACCTGGTAAGATCTCTAACAAATATGTTGGCCAGAAAGTTTCTGTTTTTTGGAGTGTATTTTCATCTACTTAGAGTCAAAAGGTGCTTTACCATAGGATTAGGAATGTAGATAGATGTCTATGCAATTCCTTGAAAAAGAAAAGACGGATATAGGAGCAAATTCTAATGTATTCTTCTGTTTTTGAAATGGTTGGTCAGAATTGGACCGGCTCCATTCTTTTGGCCCTTGGTTGTGTTTTATGCTTACACCAGGGCCATTGCAGAGAAATATGAACAAGAAGAAAGATGATGATGTAGGGCTGATTGGTCAGTTAGCCCACTGCCTGACCAATCAGACAAAATCAAATGGATGGCTGAGAAAAGAGTGATTGATCTTGATGTCATGTCTCTGAGTTCCCTCCCCCAGCACACAAAATATTACCAGGGAAGCAAGTGTCAGCTGCTGCAGATATATTGGTTGGGAGATCTGAGTTAAGGGAGGAAGAGAGAAAGGGGAAAATATTGGATCTGCTGCTTCCAATTTGTACTATTTTAGGCATTACCTAAAAATAGAATCGTTGTGCACAAATACTTGATATCAAAGTATAGCAGTTCTGTAGTTATCTGTGTCTGTGTGTGTTGAATTTTTTGACACTTTCCTGGTGGAACCGCCCTCCCATCCCATCCTATCACATCCCATACCTGTGTGCAGTGTCTCTATCTCCCCCTGCAATTATTCATAAGCATTATATACATACAAATCTTCTGACATGTCCTAAATTACAGGATTACTCTCCAAACACTAAAACTATCAGAGCTGTGCCTACTTTTGTACCTAAAGTTCTTGCAGACTATTTAGTTTCTATCATTTTCAGCTGATTATAAGATATATCTTTTCTATCAAGGGTTTAGGTGTTTAAATAACTCTTCTTTGACTCATGGCTTATTCCTATTTGCTTTCTTTCCAAGTCTTTGTGACACAGTTTCGTGTGGAACAAACTATCTGATGTTACAAATAAATAACAATAAAGTGCATGACAGTTGGACCATATTTTTATAATAAAAGCATAGACAGGTGTACAGAAAAAACTAATTTTCTCAGTTTCTACCAACTCTCAGGATTTGTGATTTATTTCCTTGGGAGAAACCGTTGTCCAACATCAGTGCTCGGTTTCTAACATCAGTGCTTGTTAGGTGTTGAATTGAAAATTGAATTCAATGGCTTGTCGGGTTGATTTAGCTTTTATGCAATTTCAAATTTCACGCAGCTGTTGGCCCGTTACGTATCACCGCTAGCATCACAATTTTAAAACACGTCTAATAGGGAGAGGGCTCTACATTCTTATAAGGGATGCTTCATTCTTCTCTCATTCTTATAAGGGATGTTTCATTCCTCTCTCTAATCGACGTGGGATCTCACAGTTTACCCCATTTGAGGGTCCAGAGTCCTCGCTGGATGTCTGACTCTAATACCATTTGTATCAGTCTACTCTACTGCTAATAGATATTGTCCGCTCTAGCCTATTACGTATCATCGTCAGCCTCACGGTTTTAAAACGTGTCTTTTAGGTAGAGGTTTCCACACCCTTATAAACAATGTTTCATTTCTCTCTTCTACCTATGTAGGATCTCTTACTATTCTTTAGCTTTAGTTTGTGGCCTTTAAAGTGTCCTAAAATAGTCTATATGATACTTTTTAGTAAATCTCATAAAAGAGTCAATGTGGTCTTGCAGCTGGTTTATCGACCTACTAACTAATATTCCCTTGGTTCAAAAGGAAGACTAAAGATAAGACTAAAACGCGTTTAAATAAATGTGGTCAGTATGGAAAAATTCAAAGTCAGAAGACTAATGGCTCCTCCCTTAAAAAATAATACACATTACTTACCCCTTCATCTGAGTTTTGAAGCTCTTCAGTTCACACTCTGCTGCCTGTTTTCCCTTTACACGCCATGCCTTCGCTGTGGATAAAACCAGATAATTCCGCCATAACCCACTTGCCATAAAGCTGCTTCTCTTTCAGCTAATTCATAAATGGGTATTACACTTTTGTTCCTTTTTCACTCGCTTTTCTGCTGCTTCTTCTATGCTCACGTCTCCATCTCCATCGATGCAAAGTGCCACCCTGCTGATATCAAAGCCTTGAAAAGCTTTGCCAATGGCCTTGACTCTCCAGTTCAAGGCTGGGACTATGGCTTTTCTGATTGTTGCAAATGGAGAGGAGTGACCTGTAATACACCAGCAGCGTTGAAGCTCAACGATTCCAGTGTTTTCTCCAGAGTTGTGGCTTTGGAACTTCCCCAGGAGGGGTTAAGAGGAAATGTTTCGGAGTCTTTGGTAGATTTGGTTTATCTAAGAACTCTTAACTTGTCAACCAACTTTCTCTCACGTTCTCTTCCGGTGAATCTCTTCTCCCTGCAGAGTTTAGAGGTCATTGATTTGAGTTCTAATGATCTCTCTGGTTATGCGCCATGGAATATCAGTTCATCCTCCATTACGTTTCTTGACATTTCTAAGAACAAGTTCATTGGAGATGTTGACCCTGGCTTCTGTTCAACTGCAAAACAGATCCAAGTATTGAAACTTTCTTCAAACAGATTTCATGGGAGAGTTCTTCCAGGTTTTGGGAATTGCAGTTCCTTGGAACATCTCTCTCTAGCTTCCAACTTCCTCTCTGGTGATTTGCCTCAAGATCTGTTTGCATTGTTCAACCTCAAAACCCTAGAACTTCGTGATAATTGGTTTTCCGGGGAGTTGAGTTTTCAACTTGGGAACCTCTCGAATCTCGTCTTCTTGGATGTTTCATCGAACAATTTCTCGAGATTGCTTCCGGATGTGTTCTTCAATCTCCGGAAGCTCGAGCAATTCGCTGCATCGTCGAATAATTTCTCTGGCGTTTTGCCGGTTTCGTTGTGCAATTCGCCAACCATTTCATCGCTTAGTCTTGACAACAATTCATTCAGTGGTTCAATCGATGTTATCAACTGTTCCGCCATGGTTCGTTTGGTTTCTTTGAATCTTGGCTCGAATCATTTCACTGGCCGAATTGAGAGTCTCTCATCTTGCCATCAACTACGCATTGCAAATCTTGCCAAGAACAGATTCGAGGGGGATTTTCCAGAAAGCTTCAAGAATCTCAGATCACTTTCTCACTTCTCGATTTCAAGAAATGGCCTCCGTAATCTCTCATCAGCTTTGACAACTCTTAATCATTGCAAGAACTTGACTGTGTTGATTCTAACATTCAATTTCTATGGAGAGATTATGCCTGCAAATTTAAACTTGAGATTTGAGAATACAAGACTGTTTGTGATTGCAAATTGTGGACTCACCGGTTCGGTACCGCCATGGCTGAGCAATAGCGCAAAGCTCCAGATTCTGGACCTGTCATGGAACTCTTTAAGTGGAGAAATTCCGTCTTCCATTGGTGACTTGCGACGCCTCTTCTACTTGGATCTATCTAACAACTCGTTATCCGGCTCAATCCCTAGGAGCATCACGCAATTTCATAGCCTCATCGATCTCAATAATTCATTGAAAGGGGAAATATTCGAAGGATTCTCGTTTTTCAGCAGAAAGAGCCAATCCGCCGGACGACAATACAAGCAACTTTTAGGGATGCCGCCATTGGTGGATCTCAGTTACAACGAATTGAGCGGAATCATTTCGGCAGAATTTGGGAATCTGAGAGATCTCCATGTATTAGACCTCAGCAACAACAAATTATCAGGAAAAATTCCAAATACTCTATCAAACTTGACGGATTTGGAAAGCGTGGATCTCTCCTACAACAATCTAACAGGAACTATTCCACCTTCATTGGCGAATCTCAACTTCCTTTCAACGTTTAATGTGGCTCACAATCACCTTCACGGCCGCATCCCTTCGCAAGGACAGTTCCGTACATTTCCGAATTCGAGCTTTGTGAGTAACGATGACCTCTGCGGGCTTCAAACATTTTCTTGTGAGGAAGAATCTGAATCTGACGACGAAGAGAACTCGATTGGTGAAGATGAGGATGAAAGCTTGAGGTCACTTGTAAGCGTGCCATTGAGTTTCGGAGCAGCCGTCGGATTCGTTTCGACAGCCGCCGTTTGTTTCTTCTCCGGCATGATGTTTCCGAGGGAGAAGAAAAGGGAATTCCGACGACTTCGTCATTGAAACCGATCAAATTCAGGGGAATTTTGGAGTTGCTCTGTTTCTCCTCAGATGGAGAAAATCATCCGGATACTAATTTGAGCATAGTCTATATTTAATTGGCTTAAATTCTTAATTTATTTTTAGTAAAACAAACTTATTATAAAGATTTGAACAGAAACATATGTTAATTACAGCTTGTTATACTCACTTTTTTAATTCGATTTTGGTTGGATAGCACTCATAATCTCTTTGCCAAATCTCCCATTGAAAAATATGTTAAGAACTCACCCCAGCTAAGTTTTAGAAGTTTCTAATTAGATTTGGATGAAAAATGTGTTAAGATCGCACGACAACGCGCACACTCGAGAATACAAAGAACAAAAAAAATGTAAGGAGAATATTGGCTAAAAAGGCTCGACAATATTGGCTAAAAAGGCCCGACAATATTGGCTAAAGCTAAAAAAACCCGACTGGCTAAAGAATACAAATAACTATATTTTCAAAACTATGAGAATATATATATGTATGGTTCAACTTACTAGCTTTATCAAATAATATATAATTATCTATATATAGCTATTCACGAACATTTACCTTTACTATATTCACAACCATTTACAGTATATAGTTTTACTGTATTCATAGTTTTATATAAACGCCTATGCTATAAATAAGGGTTTTACTATATATAATCGTTGACGTATAACGACTAAGTTCTAAATAAGGAGGCTCCATAACCTGACAAAATGTTAGTATTTTGTATAAAAAATATTAACGAGTTTCATAAAGATATTTTTAAATGTTTTTAAAAGTTTAAAGATATTTTTTAATTTTTTTTTTGAAAGTTTTTAAAAATATTATTTTAAAGAAAAAAAAAAAGTAAGATTTAAAGATATTTTTATTAATTTAATGGAGTTTAATTAACAAAAGATTATACCATTGACCAAACTCTTTAATTTAAATAAAACTTTACAAATGAGAGTGAAAATCTTGACTTTAGTACTTTCTATACTTTTAATTTTATATCTTAGTTTATGTTCTTTTAATAATCTTTTTTTTTTTTTAATGTAGACTTTTTAAACTATGGTATGGTATTACTACATGCATGTTACAAATTTTTTTCACGAATATTAAATGTTTATTTAGATCCAATAAAAACTAATAAAACTAAAATTATAACCCTCGACAATTGAAAGTATAAATCTAGTTTAACTTTATAGTTGGAATTAAAAAATGAAATTACATTCCACGTGAATTATGATATTTATTTATTGTGAGATCTACAACTATGGCTTTATATCGAGTTCTTATGTACACTTGTGACGTGTATCACTTACATGCTCTATGTGTATCACTTTTATATGAATAAAACCTAACAAACTCATACCACTTTCGTAATCACTAGACCTTATGTACTGCTTTTTATATGTAAGTAGTATCACTTTCACATGTACGGGCTCTCTTATTTATTTTATTTTTTGAAAATGGAAGAGGAATTAAAAACAAATATCACGTCATTTTTTTCATTAATTAATTGAAATAAATACTAAAATGGTATTGGATTCCATTTTTACGATACGATTGTTGAGTTTAGAAATGAAGAGCCGTAAATACATACATTTATATAATAAAATTATTATTTATATACAAATATAATATATATCTAATTTAGTGAATTTTATCTTAAAATTATTTGTGATTAAATATTTGAAAATTATAATTTTAAAAAGTTACGGAATTAAATATAACTCAACTAATTAAAAATTAAAATATATTGGAGAATAATTCTTCAAAATCTTTTAACTATTAAAATAAATAAAAATAAAATTTTAGATACCAAAATTTTAATTTAAATAAAAATAAAAAAAACTTCAGCAGGGAAGGCCCTTGCTCTTTTCAAAGCCTGCAACCAGGACGCCATGGCCCAAGCAGACATGGGTTAAGGTAAGCTTCGTACACAGATCGCCTCATTTCCCTAATTGGGTTTCGGCCTTCTCATTTCTGTGTTGCTTCTGTTTCAGAATCTCTCTGCGTTTGAATTTTAAGCGATCGAACGGCGGCACTCTTCGCAGTGGCGCGGTTGGCCGATGCCCATAAACCCTAAAACCTCTTACGGCTTGGGGTTTTACCACCCATTAATTTAACATGAGCATCCATTCCTTTGAAGAAGATGAAGCTTTCCGTTGAGAGTTCTTCCCCTTTGCTTCACTCCTTTCAGCGATGCTACTCTTCTTTCGCGGTCTTTTTCAAGTTAGTCGCAGAGCCTCTTACCGTGTAATCTCTCTGTCTTCAAATTCCTCGCATCCGGGTTGCCTTTCTTTCAATGCATTTAATGCCTCGTCGTCCCTAACATCAATAAATGGCTGTTACATTTCTTGTCTTTGGTTCGCTAGCTTTCTTTGTATATTTCGGCTCCCTTTTGTTAGTTACTCGAATACAAATAGTTCATTTGAATCATTAGACATTGGTTCCCTTCGTAAAATCATACAACAAGACCTCTGGAACGATCCTAAGATTGTTATTTTATTTGATTCAGCACTCGCGCCCATTTGGGTCTCTAAGATTTTAGTTGAATTGAAAGAAGATCCAAAGTTAGCCCTTAAGTTCTTCAAATGGGCAGGAAGCCAGATTGGTTTCTGCCATACCACCGAGTCTTACTGCATTATAGCTCACATGCTGTTTTGTGCGAGAATGTATACGAATGCCCATGATATTATTAAAGAAGTGATTTTGAAGTGTCGTATCGACATGATTTTTCCAGTTTGTAATATATTTGATATGTTATGGTCGACTAGGAATGTTTGTGTGTCAGGAACAGGAGTCTTTGACATTTTATTTAGTGTTCTGGTAGAGTTGGGTCTGCTTGAGGAAGCTAATGAATGTTTCTCGAGAATGAGGAAGTTTAGGACTCTTCCCAAAGCACGTTCATGCAATTTTCTTTTGCATAGATTATCAAAGTCGGGGAATGGACAGTTGGTGAAGAACTTTTTCAATGATATGATTGGGGCTGGGATTGCACCTTCTGTTTTTACTTACAATGTAATGATAGATTACTTGTGCAAAGAAGGGGATTTGGAAAGCGCTAGACGTTTGTTTGTGCAAATGAGGCAAATGGGCTTTTCTCCAGATGTTGTCACCTATAATTCCTTGATTGATGGCTATGGCAAGGTTGGTTTACTAGAAGAATCTGTGTATTTATTTAAAGAAATGAAGGATGTCGGCTGTGTTCCTGATGTAATTACTTATAATGCATTGATCAATTGTTTTTGTAAGTTTGAGAAGATGCCTCGAGCTTTTGAGTATCTCTCTGAGATGAAGAACAGTGGGTTAAAACCAAATGTTGTAACATATAGCACATTGATTGATGCTTTTTGCAAGGAGGGAATGATGCAATATGCCATCAAACTTTTTGTTGATATGAGAAGAGTTGGCCTGCTACCTAATGAGTTCACATACACTTCTCTGATTGATGCCAATTGTAAGGCAGGTAATTTAACAGAAGCATGGAAGTTGTCCAACGATATGTTGCAGGCAGGAGTTAATTTAAATGTAGTATCCTATACAGCTCTAATGGATGGGCTTTGTGAAGATGGAAGAATGATGGAAGCGGAAGAAGTGTTTAAGGCAATGCTGAAAGATGGACTATCGCCCAACCAGCAGGTTTACACTGCTTTGGTTCATGGCTATATTAAGGCAGAGAGAATGGAGGATGCAATGGAAATATTGAAGCAAATGACAGAATGTAACATCAAACCAGATTTAATACTCTATGGCACCATTATTTGGGGTCTCTGTAGTCAAAACAAACTTGAAGAAACTAAACTTATTATTAAAGAAATGAAAAGTCAGGGTATTAGTGCAAATCCTGTTATATACACAACAATTATGGATGCTTATTTTAAGGCTGGAAAAAGCTCAGATGCAATAAATCTTCTTCACAAGATGCAGGATATGGGTGTTGAGGCTACTGTTGTAACCTACTGTGTACTAATTGATGGTCTGTGCAAAACAGGTATGGTCGAACTGGCAGTTGATTATTTTGGTAGAATGTCTGATCTTGGTTTACAACCTAATGTTGCAGTTTATACGGCCCTTATTGATGGTCTTTGTAAAACTAATTGCATTGAATCTGCCAAAAAGTTGTTTGATGAAATGCAATATAGGGGTATGACCCCAGATAAAACAGCTTTTACTGCTCTTATTGATGGCAACTTGAAGCTTGGAAATCTTCAGGAAGCTTTGGATTTGATTAGCAGAATGACAGACTTAGCTATTGAGTTTGATTTACATGCTTATACTTCCATGGTTTCGGGATTTTCTCAATGTGGTGACCTGCATCAAGCAAGGAAGTTTTTTAATGAAATGATTGAGAAAGGCATACTTCCCGAGGAGATTTTATGTACATGTCTACTGAGAGAGTATTACAAGCTTGGACAGTTGGACGAAGCCATTGAATTGAAGAATGAAATGAGAAGGAGGGGTTTAATTACTGAAAACTGTAGCCTTGAAGTTCCCAGTCTTAGAACTTGATGAGGTCCAATCTGATCATCTTTGGTGTCTGTATTTTAATTACAAGCACATGTGGTCTTTATTTGGGATTTAGAGAGTATGACAACCCAAGAAACCCACCGTTCAAATGGCCGCCATGTCTGATGGGAAGAACTTGCAGGCCATGCGTGATGTATCTGATGTTGGTTTTAAAAGCTCTGATCCAAAATATTCTATTTGATAAGATGCAGCTTTCTAGTTTCTAAATGATATCTGCAGAAAATCCCATCATATCATGCGTTTCATTAATCATCAGTCTTCTATAAATGTGAGTGTCAGTCTTTCTCATTCTCTTTCTCTTTCCCAAAAAAGAAGAATGTTGTTTAGACATGAGATACAGGTGTGCAACTTTTGGCAGTACATTTATATGAGATTGAAAGTGATCACTTTTTCTTCAACATTATGCATGGTGCATCCATCCTGCTTGTCTTCTGTCAACTAATTTGGCATATGGGTTTGCAGGTCCAAAGAGGATTCCTGTGCTACCATATATTGATTCCTGTGGAACCATTCTAGCGAAAATATCTGTCTTTTGTTTTACCGATTGAAGCGTACTCATTCAAGTTTGAGGCTCAGGATGACTTATAATGAGTAAGGTGTTAACTTGACTCTTCATGCTTGTTTATATTTGAAATTTGATGTTCATCTCTGTAAACTTATGGTTACTTTTGGAATGGGTAAAGTGATTAAAAAAAAAGCTCCTCTCTTCTCATACGACTGGAGACTGGAGGTTCTCACAGGAACCAATCTTTCTCTGCTGTTCTTTCTTACATTGACGCATAAACTAAAACAAGATTTGGGTTGTTCTTTCCTCTATTGAGGAATGTAGGTTCATATGGAGATTATGGACAACAATAAACCTAATCCTAGAGAGACTCTTTGAAATGCGTCCTTGATTTGGGTTTTCATGAATTGTTATAGTTTTTGCCAACAAATCTTGCTAGGAAGATTTGGGTGGCAAAATTCTTATGAAACTCAGAACATTCCTCTTATGATCTCCTTTTCTCAATAAATATGCCAAGTTCACCAACAACAGGATTCGTAGGAGGAAACCTCAGTTATCTTCTTCCTTAAATTTATGGGTATTACAACTCTAGTGAGGGGACAGCAATCATTTTCATTCGTTGTCTGTTTGCTCACAAATGCTGGACTTATCTCTTCCCCTGTTTGGCTCTTTAGATTTGTTGCCTTAGATAGAACATGAGCGCAAGTGGGTTGGTTTTTGGCCAACGATTCCAAACCTATATGTCAAAATAGTATAAATTGAAAAGCAAAATTACACCAAGATTTTTTAAGAAAGCCAAACAGACCAAGCCAACGAACCAAAAACCCCATCTACAATCGATGAAACCAACTGCAGAGCAAAAACCAGTCCAGTCAATCCAATCTATGAAATCCAACCTATTGAAATATTTGCTGTTTTGAAACTATATAGAATTGAATACCCTGACATCTGTACCAAATTTTGACCAAACTGACCTGATTGAATCAATTTTGGTTTTCACGGACATGCCTATCTAAGAGTGTTTCAGTGGTGGTGCCCTCCGGGTGGTGTACCAAATTGACCAAGCTTTCATCGAGAAAAAAAAAAAAAAAAACATCCCAGAACAAAAGGAGGAGCCCCGATAACTACAGAACAGGCTCCAATCCAACAAAACCAAGCCTAGATCTTATTTACAAAAGAGTCTATTAACAGACACCCACACATAAAGAGCATTAAACTGAGCCCCCTCGCAAACCTCTTTATCTTTTAAAAATTTTGTATGCCTTAGTGTATTTTAGTCATCTATCATAAACACTGTAATTACTCTTATGTGGTTGTTTTCTTTCTATTGCTAGGCTTAGTTTGTTGCAGCATCATGAAGGTGGTGAAAAGCTACTTGACTGATCACTTAAGAAGGTAATCACTTAACACTTCTCAAATAAATTTGTCTAGTGAACTGATTACTAGTACAATCTTCACATTTGTACAGTGACTTTTGGCACATCCATACATTTAAGTTGAACTGAAGCAACTACTTAGATGTATCCCATTAGCATAGTAAAACTTGAGTTGATGATGACTTGCAAAAGCTTCAGAGTTTGGTTCCAGTTTCATGTCTGTTCGTTATCCATCATCAGGATCTGTAGTGTAGGGAACAAAACTCGGTACGGGGTCTAAAAGCAGAGCTTAGGTTACATTGAGAAGTGTACACCGTTGTCCTGATCATTTGAATATTGGTTCGATTTATTATGGCATGTATATATTTGTTTTACCATTGAAGCCACCGGATGAATGATTTCATAAGACACGTTTCTTTGAATTTCTCAGGTGGTTGGTCTGGGAGAGAGCTGGCTCCCAATATGTGAATGCAAGTCTCAAATCTCACGAGTACTGGAAGGAGGAAGCTGCACGATGAAGTGTTGTAGCCTTGCAGAATGAAGCCCAGGAAGGTTAAGTGATATGATTTACTGTTTCTCTGTTAAAAAATCTGCACATGAATTTAAGAACTAAAGCATGGAGAAGAGGAGAAGTATAGAGAACAGTGTAATAGTATTTCTCAAAACAGGAAAGATGAATATACCATTATTAGAGACCAGAAGATCTTTTTTTTCTTCGCAGGTCCTTATGATAAACTTGAATGATGCTTCTACTGAACCAAAAAGTTGCCACATTAGATATTTTTAGGTTGAGCTTACTAGAACAGTCTGTTAATAACCAGTTCTTCAATGTGCCATTCAGTGCAACTCAATCTTAAAAACAAATTTAGTTGTTCAAGTTAGGCATTTTAGAGGAAATGGGTACAAATCTTGTGAGTTACTTCTTGAAGATAGTACAATTCTGTGGATTTTCTTGTTAATTCAATGTTATAAGGTTAGAATCCCTTAATCTTGTGATTAGTTGAGTTTTATGTAAGTTGCTTCAATCACTTTCTGATGTTAAAAAATCTTATAGGTTTTTGTATATAAGATTGTTATCAATGGGTTGTTTCTTTTACAATATATCATGGGATAAAAATTGGAAGGTTTTAATAACTTTATCGAGTGGGATTTTTTAATGAATCCATTTTTATGTTATTTCGTACTGATCATTTTGGTAACCATTCAAGAGTTGGGGTTTGGACGTGAGTTTTGACATGCTCCTCTGGAGCTAAATGGACATTCCATATGATCATTGACAAAAATTTATGATATTATCAACAGATGAATAAGATGAAAGCTTTCTTAGGTGTCAATCGGAGCTAAATGGACACTTCATATGATCATTGACAAAAAACATGTCTACTCCTAAAAAGGAAATGCCTCAAAATGTATTATAGGAAATATTATGTCGGCTCTCCACCACCTTGGGGTCTTGTGGCCTAAGTGAGCTATCGAATTATACATGCATGAGTCTCTCCTTTAGGAATGGATTTTTTAGGATAGTGTCAGACTACATAGGTGTACCAACATTGTGCCTCGTCCCTTGTATTGAAAGTTGGTATATGAGGTTGCTCTTTGATATGGTATGCATAAATGACTTGACATGAACGTAAAAAGGTCATGACTCGAGACAGATGAATGATGGATTTTTGAGATGACTTGATTATAAAGTTGACTCATGGGTTAGTTTTCAATAAGCGTATTTGAGCAAACAGTGAAGGTCGATGACATCCTAAGACTTGTGATGACATCATAAAGCGAGATGGTCATGTTGAAAATCGAAAGGATGAAATGAGATGCAACATTGCATACGAAGGACACTTTGGCCAAGTGTAGGAGCAAGATTGAGTTTTAGGACCTTGACCAAACGCCATGTAGATTGTTTTCTTTGAACATTTGTTATTGTTCAATAAAAAAATTCTTCCTCATTGTATATCTAGGAGGGTAGCAACTTCTCGTCCACATTTCGTCGATATTTTTATATGATTGTGAGTTCCATATCAATCTAAGTTATAAATTAACATTTTCATTATACCGCAAAAGAATATGTGATACATAAAACGACATTTAATTTTAATAGAATTTTTTAGCGTTATAAATTTTATATTATCAAGACTAAATTGTTGCATACTTATTCATCTGCCGATAATAATACAAATTATAAATTTTAAACATTAAGTTATTAAATTAAATTGTATTAATTTTATATAATTTAAAATTCAAATATTTTATATTTTAGCCGAAATTATAATATCTATAAAAAAAACTCGTTTTTTTTTTTTTTTTTAATAATTTAGTATCTATATTAAATTAGGGATGATTCATTATTGATGACCATATATATACGACATACGTGGCTCGCGGTTTTCATGGAGGAAACATAATGCTTACGTGGAGAATCATATTAAAAAAAACTCGAATTCTGTCCAAGAACTTCCCACGTGGCGCAATTTGAGTGGCTGAGAAGATGATACTTCTTTACCGTTAAGCTATATACTATGTGGCCTTGTGATCTTCCTCCCCTGTCCTACGGACCTTATCTTCCATGGCCGTCACTGGCTCTCCCGACTGGTCACTCCCCTCATCAACCTGTTTCAGAAAATCCCGTCTCCTTACTTTCATCCCTGCCTCCAATCTCGCTCTCCTTTTCTCTCTTCCAAATCTTCGATCTCTTCACCTAAATTCCTCCGGGTGCCCGTCCCCAATCCTAGAATCATCGCCCACTTCCCTCCCCGAGATCGATTCGGACTCTAATCTTCAGGATTTTCAACTTCCCTCGTCGTCCAGTGTAGAAGATTTGAACGATTTCTTATGTGGATTACCCCAAAACCCCGGACGGGAGGATTTGATCTATGAGTACTACGTGAAAGCGAAGGAGACGCCAGGGTTTAGACCTGAGAAATCAACATTGAGGCATCTCATCAGGTACTTAGTGCGATCGAAGAACTGGAATTTGATTTTGTTAGTTTCTAGAGATTTTGTGGATTATGATGTTTGCCCTGATAGAGATACTTGTTCTAGATTGGTTAGTAGTTGCGTTAGAGGTAGAAAATTTAAAGTTGTTAGGGCTCTGCTTGAGGTTTTTGAACGGGATAGGGATGTTGCTACGGCTGCATTTGAAGCTGCCATGAGAGGCTACAATAAGCTTCACATGTACAAAAGTACTATCCTGGTTTTCCAGCGCTTGAAATCTGCTAAAATTGAAGCAGATTCTGGATGTTACTGCAGGGTCATGGAAGCCTACCTTAAACTTGGGGATTCTGAGAGAATCATGGAACTGTTTAATGAAATTGAGAGTAGGATTTCTGATTTTACACCCTTTTCCACCAAAATTTATGGGATACTTTGTAAGTCATTAGCGAAATCGGGGCGAGTTTTCGAGTCGCTCGAGTTCTTTAGAGATATGAGGAAGAAAGGGATTGTAGAAGATTACACCATTTACTCTGCTTTGATATGCACTTTTGCAAGTATCCAAGAAGTTAAATTAGCTGAAGATCTTTACAATGAAGCAAAAACCAAGAAGTTATTGAGAGACCCTGCCATGTTTCAAAAGCTTATATTGATGTATATTCAACAAGGGTCATTAGAGAAAGCACTTGAGATTGTTGAAGTGATGAAGGACTTCAAAATTGGTGTATCAGATTGCATTTTCTGTGCAATTGTCAATGGCTACGCCACGAGAAGGGGCTATAATGCTGCGGTTAATGTTTACGAAAAGCTGATTAGAGACGAGTGCGAGCCAGGACAAGTGACGTACGCCTTGGCGATCAACGCTTACTGCCGTGTCGGGCTGTACTCAAAAGCGGAGGACGTGTTTGTAGAAATGGAGGAGAAGGGGTTTGACAAATGTGTAGTTGCTTACTCTAGCTTGATATCAATGTATGGGAAGACAGGGAGATTGAAGGATGCAATGAGGCTGTTAGCAAAGATGAAAGAAAGAGGGTGTCAGCCAAATGTTTGGATTTACAATATCCTGATGGAGATGCATGGGAAGGCTAAGAATTTGAAGCAAGTTGAGAAGCTATGGAAGGAAATGAAGCGCAAAAAGATAGCACCTGATAAGGTTAGCTATACAAGTATCATAAATGCTTATGTGAAGGCAGCAGAATTCGAGACATGCGAGCGATATTACCGTGAGTTTCGGATGAACGGGGGAGCCATCGACAAGGCGATAGCGGGAATCATGGTTGGCGTGTTCTCAAAGACGAGTCGGGTTGATGAACTGGTGAAGCTTCTTAGGGACATGAACTTAGAAGGAATACGCTTGGATGAGAGGCTGTATAGGTCAGCCTTGAATGCTTTGATGGATGCTGGGTTGCAAGTGCAAGCAAAATGGTTGCAAGATCATTATGCTGGAAAGTCGGGCTTTGTTTAAACTGTTTCATACTGATTATTGAAAATTTTTCACCATGCCCAAGAGATTTACTATTTGTATGTAGTTTTTATTTTCTCTGTAAATTCTCAGTTCCGTTCATATAGTTTGTGTAACGATCCAATTTTTCTATTAAAAGCAAGGTCACCACGGTATGCATGATGTGACTAATACCGGTAAAAAATATTCATTGAAAATATTTTATAAAAAGGTGCCATGGACTTATCATTCTTAATAAATACCTTAAAACAACGTCGTCATGAAATAAAAGAGGCGAAATATAAACGATGTAAAATTGAATAAAATAAAACAAGACCGGATCTTACCTAAGGACTACCAACTAGACATGAATGCAACTACCACAACTCTAATTCTATGACCTTTATCTCGACGCCGTCATTTGGGGCGTCTTACTTTTACTTGAAAAATAAAAATAGTACATGACTTGGTATTTTAAGAAATATTCAGTAACTCCATTGTTGAGGTTGAGAAATGCAAACATGTACTATGGTGGGGCATATTCTTTTAAAAACATTATAGCATGGCTTTGGGTTCTGCTTTTCCATTCGGATAGAGTTGGATTTGTAGTACTTCCTTACGCACAACCCACACACACGTACATGAATCCACTATGTATATGTGCTCTTGGGCTTAGCTCATCGGGCTACTAAACGCCACAGAGGGAAAGAGCCCACATAACATAATGAGAAAATATAAATGTCGTAAGATACGCGCTTGTACTAATCATAATGAGGAAGAATCTCGATGCATATGTCACACAAAATGCATGAAGTTCCCAGGGCTTAAAATCATGACATAAGTTTATGATGCAAGTCAAACCTCCATTCATAATAACATAATGAGTCTACGAATCATGTATACATAATTCTTGTCAAATCTTTCTTATATAACATAGCTTACATGGCGTGATTTATGAAGGTTTATGCACCCTAGGTTATCAATATCATAAACATGATTCTACAACATGATGTAGTCACATTATAACATAACTCATAAACATGGCATAACACAGTATAACATAACGTGACATAATATAGCATAACATAGTACAATATAGCATAGCACAATACAACAATCATAATCATGACACGTGCATGGGCAACAAACCACGCATCATCATACATCATACAATTTGTCCAACCAAGCCAATTGTAGAGTCACCTAGTTGCCCTAGGTCAAAGTTACTAAATATTCTTAGAGCCGGTGGAACTGTGTTCCTCAACGTCAGTTTCAACCTATGTGTAATCACGCCATTGAATTACAATACGTTAAATGGCTTAATTCGTCTAAAGATCTCAATTAATTTTAATGCCTAAAGAGATAGTTGCCTCTTTTGCCTCTTCGTCTAAATAGGAATTTCTTCTCTCCGAACTACATAAATTTTTATGCCTCTTTGTTTAATTTATGTGTATGAATGTGTGAGCGTGATCAATCTTACTCCCCCTTTTACTACAACAATTAGATAGCAGAACATTTTGATTGTGACATTAAGGATACACACGACACTACCAATATTATTGCATAAACCAAAATTCCAAACCACAATGTAATTAAAAGAGCTTACAACACAACATTAAAGCAAAAACACAAGAAAAGGAAGGAAATAGGGGCCAAAGACAATGGCCACTTTATTCATACAACTTGGAATGTAAATAGAGAATTAGTTGAAGATGTGTGGATGTTGTTGATGAATGAGATATCAAACACAGTGCTTAGAGCATATGCAGCGAAGGCGGAAGCCCTGGCAAGCGCCATCATTAAAGCCCTCTGCCCTGCAGATATGGCCACAGTTGTTGGTACTAAAGCATAGCCCCTTGAAGTTGCGGCTCGGAGATTCGCAAAGCCTCGCCTCTGCAACCATTGGCGCCATACCTGTCACACACATCATGCACCAAACACCACTGGTAAACAGTCCAATGAACAAACAAAACATATAAAATTGAAGGAAACAAACAAACCAGTGCCAAAAATGAGGAGGAGCAGGCAAATTGCAGCTGAAAGGAACTTCATATTAAGAGAGAAATTTGTGCGTTATGAGTTTAATGCAAGGAGGGTTTAGGGTTTATATAAGAATTAAGAGAGCAAAGTTATTAGTGATGGAAGATGCAGCAAAATTTTAGTGTTTAATTAATTGGGTAGCAACTAGTTTTAGACTAAATCATCATATATTTGAGCCATATGATTCATTAAAGTTATACCCAAATCTTGGTTCTTACACAAACCCACCTTATTTAAATTACCCCTTGTTTCACTTCATTAATTTGTGTACACATACGAGTTTTTTCTCGTTTTTTTTTTTTTTTTAACTATAGAAAAGATCTCGGGGTTCAATTATGCTTTCAAGTTTGAAAAGTTTTACTTTGATTTAATGTAAGATCCCACATCGATTGGTGTGCAAACCTCACTCTACCAAGACGCGTTTTAAAAATTTGGAAGAAAAATCTGAAAGAGAAAACTAAAAAAAGATCATATCTGTTAGCAGTGGACTTAACTGTTACTAAAAATTTAAAGACTAAATTTATAATTATTTTAAAGTTTTATGGACCAAATGGTCACAAACGTCAGTTAAATTTGTAATTTTATTCAAACATAGTAGGTAAAGATCCATACTTATTTTTATAACTATTTAATTTTTAGTTATACTTTTTAAAAAATAAACTTTTATTTTTTTAATTTTTATTTTGTTATTATTTTAGAAAACTATGAATCTGACCCTGAAGTCACATAAAATAGGGGAGTTCATGGATTTGGGGGTTTAAAATTTTTACCATCTAAACAACTTTTATTAAATAATGAAGGTAACCCAATCTAACAATAAACTTTTGGGTTGGGTTGTTTCGAATGTTAGACTAAAATTTACCATTCAATTTCAATATATATGGTAAAAAAATTAAGTAATAAATAATTAAAAATTTGTTTTTAAAATGGTTAAAAAATAAATAATAATTAAAAAATTGACTAAAAATAAAATAAATAAATATATATAGGATGATATTGTAAAAAAAATGTATACGAACCAACCTAATCTATAAAGTTTTCATTTATTCAGATCAAACCAAACCGGATTAGGTTGAATTAATAGAATTTTTTTTTTTTTTTTTTTTATAATAAAAGAAGTCAGTCAAAGGTGGACATAGCCCCTTTAAGATGGCCAGCAGAATTTAGATAACCATCTATTATATCTCAATTAAGAATTAATGGAAAATGTAGCTTTAATCCAAAGGGCCAATGGCTACTTGCCACGTGGACTCATCTTTACCAAACAAACCAAGACTTCCAAAATTAGGTCAATCAACATAATATTGAACACACCCATCTCTTATTCGCCGAACGACGACAAAATTTAAATAGCAATTAAAATATTTAATACTTTCATAGACAAGTTCTGATTATGACAAATATGAATTCAAATCTTTTGATGTATCTAACCTATTTGTGATTAGGATATGAATGATTTGTGGAGTGAATTGGTTGATCGTTACTCAAAACCGACTCTTCAACTTATGAAATATTTTGACAAATTCGAACAGAGGTAATATTTTACCTTGCTTTCCATTGTAATTGCCATTGTAGCACGTGTGTGGCCCAACTCGCACATATAGATAGGGAGAACGAAACGTGATGGGGATGGATGTCTGAGTGTTGGTGTTGAAGACAAAATCTAAATAACTTGAACCTGTAAACAGAAGAAAGATATATCATTCTATCTAGTATAACGAGAACTAGAAGAATCTTTAGAAGAATACGTGATTAAGGGTTTATGTTGATATGTTTTCAGCTAGATTGACTATCATAGATAGGAACTTGATTATTAGAACTTTTTACGTAAACCTAAATTAGAGCTATGTTTCTAACGAAATACGTTATATAAGTCAAATATATAAATTTAGAGCAATCTTTTATGGAAGTTTGATATTCTCTTTGCATATGAGAAGAATCCAATTGAGTAATATTGTATCATATAAGTTTGAAATGTATTTATACCAATACGGGTGTTAAAAACAATTCGATGATCTTAAAAATTGGATAAGTCCAAGCTGTTTTGAGTTAGATTAAAATAAATGAAAAATTTACTGGTCAGATTCGTGAGTTTCTCTCAAATAGTTTTTGGTTGAATCGAATTAGGCTGAAATAAATTTTATCCCATGTTGATCTTGGTGTCTATTGCACATTTTTCGTGAACGGAGTCTGGAGTCAAATTGCAACGGAAGTAAGAGATCCGAGAAGTCTCAAAGTATGGTAAGAATGCATGAATTTAAATGTTTTAGTGCGATTATATTAGTCTATGGGTCAAAAAATTATATATAAAAAAATATAAGTGTGTAGAGGGATGAAAACTCCACAACTTTGGTGAAGGAATTAATTGGATCCGAGTTATGTGCATGAAGATATGAAATTCTAAAATAGATTGAAATAAATTTTATCCTTGAATCTTGAAATTTGTTAAGGAGAACATCTCGAGGATGCGTCGACAAACAACAAGGGGATACGTGTCAGAGCTGCAGAAGGACGTGAGTGATGGAAAAAGACACGCAACGCATCGCAACACCAACGACTGCCAACACCCAAAGCTAACCACACTTGCACCCAATGATCTGAATTGAATCACTTACATCACGTGTTGGCCAAGGGACGATGGATCCACGCGTTGCGGAATTTGAACACAACACACCTAAGAGTGAACAAGGGACTATACACGTAATTGACTGAGGATATATTATTATGTGTAGGACAAACCAGCGTGAGAGTGGACGAGGGACTACTTAAGTAGTATATTGAGGAGCTACTATTTTGTCCAGAGGAAACCCACCTTGAGAGGAGACGAGGGCCTACAAAATAGATTAGCTCATGATAGACACCACCGTGGCGTGAGATAACATTTAGGGGATACCTGAACTAGGCACAAATTTCTTAAAACCCTATGACAAGCTCGTGGAAACATGTTAGGTTAAAGGATGTGATGAGAGGCTATAGGTAGACTGCTTATTGAGTATTTTATACTCACTCCTTTTCCCTTTTCTTTTTAAGGTACCGGTCAAGGTAGGGAGGTGCTTGGGAGCTATGTTATCACAAAAAGATGTCGACTCGAGGCGTCAATATTATTTTGTATTTCTTTTGGGTTGTCGTTTCCATTG